GCTCCCGTCACGCTTGGCAACACGAACAGCCCGCCAGCCGACGATGCACTTGACAAGGTGCGCCGCCACTGGCAGGAGGAGGAACGAAAGCGCATGCAAACTCTTGAAGAGGAACGACGAAATAGGCTTAGCTCCGTAGAGCGACTGCAGTCAATACCCTCGTCCTCGTCATCGCCGGCATCAGCTAACTCTGCGATCACTGCACCTTCGCCTACTGCTACTGCAGTTTCCGCACGCTCGGTTGCTGAGGACCTCCGTGCGTCGAATAAGGCAGCGTTGGCAATAAAGAAGAAATCTTTGGAGGACACGGAGGCATTCCTTCGCACGACGCTCGAAGGGGAGCTGGCACGCACGAATGCCCCAGCGGAGGTGCAGTTTGCGGAGGCAGTGAATAACGATGTCAAGGCGTTTGTGCGAGCAAAGGAGTTGTCTTGGGGTCTTGAAAGGGAGCGATTTGAGCGCAGGCGTGACGAGGCACTGGCAGAGCACAAGCAGGCGAAGGACGCCTATGAGCAGGGAGTGCGTGAGCAACGGGCGAGGCAGGATGAGGAGATGGTGCAGGAGGTGGAGCAGCGGGAGGTTGCTACAAGGAAACTTTGGCAACGCTACGCGGATGAACGTCGTGTGCTTATTGCAGAGATCGACGAGGAACTGTTGGCGTACGAGCGGAAGCGACGTGCTGAGATTGCTGCACAGGAGGAGGCGAAGGCAAAAGAGGCGGAGGCTGAGATGAGAGCCTTGGCGGAGGTGAAGCAGGCGAGGCAGCCGCCATCGTTGCCGCTGGCCACGCCCACGTTGGGAGTTCCGATGAAACTGCTCCAGCAACGCCTGAGCCTGGTCGAGAGAGACTACGTAGAGCAGGAGCAAAGGTTGCAGGTGGAGTTGGACTGCATCCATGCCGAGATGAGGAGACTGGGGGATGCGCTCACCGTGCAGGGGCAGGAAACCCTGCCGCTACAGTCATGTGGAAACTTGACGTCTGATGTCTCCTTCACGACCGCTGCCCCGCTTAACATTAAGGAGCAGCGACACTCTTCACAGTTTAGCTCTGAAGCATTGCACTTTTTGAGCGAGCAGCAGCGAGGGTTGCGAGTGCGTCTTGGGGCTCTTCACGCGGCCCGTGAAGAGTGGCATAAGGACATGCAGAACGCCAGATCCTTCATGCCCTTGTCTCCTCAGCCGGGGAGAAAATTGCCGAAGCTCACGACGGAGGAAGGGGATGCTGTGACCTCAAAGCTCTTCACACTTGTGGGTGCTTTGACCGATCGTGTCGAGGCTCTCACGGGGTGCGTCTCGAAACTGCGGACTCCGACAAGGGCTTCCTCACCGAAGCGGTGTGAAGAGTATCTCCAGTTCCGTTTGAACCGCCATCGTGGGCGGGAAAAGAACGCGGCTGACAGAACCCCCACGAAGAGCAGCAAGTGGGAGGGGGTAGCTTCCCGTGAACCACACGCCCACAGAACTCACGTAAGGCAACACGGGGACGTCAACCTCCTGCAGAAATGGAGCCACATCCTTCGCGAGTTTGCAACTCTGCCGTCGAGTCACTGTGAGCTCAGTAGCTCTATTCAACGCCTCGTGGCGGACCAATGACGACGGCAGGTCAAAGAGTGTAGAGCGTGACGGGTGCGGGAAACGTGTAATACCGCGATGTACGGCGACGGCAAGGATGACATTGCTCTTACGTCCCTCTACTACCACCTTTTTTTTTTTTTATGTGCACGCGTGAGTGTGTGCTTGTGTCTGGGGAGTTGAAGTGAGTGAACGAAGGCAGCGTGTGAGGCGGTGTGCGGGAATGTGGGCTTGGTTGTCCGGCCTGGGGCAGGTGCTTCCCACCACGCTATGTCTGTACTAGTTATTCACTCCCCCCCCCCCCCCCCCAAACTAAACAACGGCGGCTGCGACAGCAGCAGCAGTGTGTATGTGTTTGCTTGCGTTGTCACGCTGTGTCATCGTCTACACACAAAGAGGGAGGCTGTGGCTAGAAGGAGCCTCGAGCTAAGCGACATGAGTCATCTCGCTCTCTTCTCTGCTTTTTCTTCGTGTCGTCTTCGAGTGTGTTAGTAGCAATGCTGGCGGCGAGGGGAGCTGTTGCGAGGGAGGGCGATACGGTCCTTCTCCTCCGCGGCCACTTCAACCTCACACCGCTTGTGCTTCGGTGCGGCGGGCTGCTTCACTGCAAGGAGGGGAAATTCCGCCACGACGACATCATTGGCCAACCGCTTGGGACGCGGGTCACGGGGCAGAGCAACTTCAAGGGCGACACTTCCAGGCCCCCCAGCCTGCTCGTCCTGCAAAATAGTGCGGACCTGTGGACGCAGGCGGTGCCGCACCGCACACAGATTATTTACGACACGGACATTGCCGTTATTATCTTTAACCTGAGGCTGGGGCCGGGGTGCCGCATCGCCGAGGCGGGCACGGGAAGTGGGTCGCTGACGCACTCCTTCGCCAAAACCGTTGCTCCCAACGGCACTGTTTACACTTTTGATTTTCACAAGGGTCGTTGCCTAGAGGCACGGCAGGAGTTTCGGCGCAATGGCCTACCAGCATCCCTCGTGACATGCAACTGGCGCGATGTTTGCAGCACTTCGTGCGAGAGCGGTGTTATGGCTGGCGTGGAGGAGGAAATTGGTGCAGGCACCGATCCCAAGCACGGCTTTGGCCTCCCTCGACACCACGTGGACGCCGTCTTTTTGGATGTTCCAGCGCCGTGGCTCGCAATCGAGAACGTTCTTCAGGTGCTGCGACCAGGTGGCATGCTGTGCACCTTCTCTCCCTGCATCGAGCAGTCACAGCGCACGGCGCAACGACTGCGGGAGGAGCCGTTTGAGTTTATTGACATTCGCACCGTGGAGGCGCTGACAAAATACTTTAAGCCATCCTTTAAGCGTGGCCGTGAGGAGGATGGACGGCCGTCCCGTCCCAAGCTACGCCCTGCACTGGTGTCAAAGGGTCACAGTGCCTACCTCACTTTTGCACGGCGGCGACTCGAGCGCCTCCCCGGACTCGACGCTGAGATCGAAGAACGAAACGACGGCAATCCCTCAAGCGGCGAGGAGGAAAACACCGCAAGCTGAGTGAGATGCGTTGATGGGCTGTTTTACCTTCTGCTGTATGTGCGTATCTCTTTGTGGGTGTGGGGGTTAATCGTCAACTCTCTCCCCTTCCTACCTCCGAGAGACGCACACCGTTTTCTTTGAAGAGGACGAAACAGAGAGAGGGATATAATAAGAAAAAAAAACAAGAACAACGACGACAAGAGCAACGGAAAAAAAAAAAATTGTCATCATTTACGTGTATATATATATATATATTGTTCTGGCGGAAGGCGCACGTGTGGCTGTAGCTTTTTGTGTGACTACCCAACGCTCTTTTTATTCGGCCTTTTCTTTTTCCTTCTCGCCCTCTGCCTTCTCTACGTTATGAGGCAGGCGTGCAGTATCAGTGCCGTGCGCTCGCCACGCTACGCCACGCCGCATCCCAGCACTTCTTCCCTCTCTCATTTTGGAGCGAGGCGGGATGGACTTTAAGGGCCACTTGGCTTCTGCCGTGGTACTGAACGTCGCACTGAAGCTACTGACATTCACGCTGAGCACTCTTCTGACCCGTCAGCTTGCACCCAACGAAAATGGGATTAATTTTTCATGTCAACTGTACTTCAACACCGTTCTTTTTCTTGCACGTGACTGCGTTCGAAGTGTGAACGCCCGGCAAAATCTCCGAGAGAGGGCAGTGGATGGGCGGGTGGTTTTGCAGGTGATGAACTGCGCCAGTGCCTCTCTTCCATTGGGAATTATAATAATGGTAGGGCTGGAGCTGCTGCCTTTGTGCGGCATTCACATGTTTCCTTCCTTAGCCGCACTTTCACGTGTGGGGGACGTCGTCACTGCGTTGGCAGACGTCCAACGCAGCGCGGTGAGCTCCCCGGAGCTATTGCTGGCTCTGAGCATCGTCGTTTCACTGATGATGGAGCCATGCATTGCTCTTGTTTTGGCTCTTGACTACGCACGGATTATTGTTACCTCTGAATTTTGGGCGTTGCTAGCACGCCAGGTGACGTGTTTGTTTTTTGTAAAAATGTGCGGGGGTTTGGGTGGGGATTTGTACAATGCGCGTCTGTGCTTTGCCACTGGCTCCCTGGCGTACGCCATCGCAACCAGTGTGTATTTCCTCTGGCTCTGGAATCGAAACAGTCGCTGTGGGCACAAGGAACGTGAGAATGCCAAAAACGATGATCTTCTCCAGAGGGCTCGAAGAGGCGCAGTCACCGCACGATGGGGCGCGGCGCAGCATTGCGATTTGTTTTCCGTCTCGCTGTTGCCCTGGTTGCGTGCGTCGCTGCCGTGGTGTTTCCTTTCGTGGCACTCCGCGTGTGCTGAGGTGATGAGGGAGGCGCTGCTGCTGCGCCAATTTTTTAGCGAGAGTTGTCTGCGTCTTCTGCTCACCGAAGGGGAACACTTCGCTCTCGCGACGTTTGCCTCGGCGTCAGTGATGGGTCAATACGATGTTGTCTCCAACCTTGGTTCCATTGTCGCCCGCCTCATTTTCCGTGTGTGGGAAAACGCCTGTTTTGTGAAATGGAGCCGTGACGCCGCGAGGGGCAAAACGGAGGAGGCCATCAGCCTGCTTGTCACTATGCTGCGGATGGCGTCATATTTTGGCGCGGCGGTGGTGCTACTGGCGCCGCCGCTTGCCGAGGGTTTTCTCCTGGGACTGTTTTCCCGCCGTTGGGCGTCCCCGGCGGTGGTACGGGCTCTGCAGTTGTATTGTTTCCTGCTGCCGCTCATGGCCTGGTATGGGCTGCTAGACGCGTTTGTGCGGGCAACGGCGTCGGCATCGATGCTGCGGCTAACCCAACGTGTGATGGTGGCGCACGCCGCGACGTACGCTGTCGCCTGCTACGTGGTGCTTCGCCTGCGCTGGGTGGTCGACGACTCGGTGACGGGGCTTATTATGGTGAACATCGTCAGCATGGCCCTGCGCTGCGTGTCGGGATTGTGCTTGTTGCTGGCGGGACCTGTCGAGGTGGCGCCACGGCGAGGTGACGCCACTGCCCCTCCGCCCCGCCTACGGCTGCGTGACTTAGAAAACGTCGTTCCCCGGCGCATCCTGCTGGTGTGGGTGACTCTTTTTGCGTACACCCGGTGGTCACCGTGGGGGCCTATTGCCGCATTGACGGCGGCCCCCCTGTTTGCCTTGGCCTTGGCGAGGTGGGACCCAGAGCTTCGCTGCGGGGCGCTGAACGCACTGCGCCGCCGAGGCCTCTGCACGTAGGGCACGAGGGGACGCGAAGAAGGAGGGAAAAAACAAGAATGATAATAAGAACAAATAGTTTTGTACTTGGTGGCTTCGCTGCCTTGTGTCCTTACCGCAGTTTTTATTGTTTTGCATGCAGCTGTGATGCCTGTGTGGGGTGGAGCACCATTTTCTTTCGTTCTTTTTTTTTTTCTTCTTCCGGGGTGATCGCTAGCCTGTTGTGCCACCAATAAGTAGTTGAGAGAACTGCCTTATCTCCCTACTTCGTTTTTCAAAAAAAAAAAACATTTTTTCCTCCGGTTTCCCGTTCCACATGCTTCGGCGCTTCACTGCCCAGGGGTTCCACACCAGCCAATGGAGCGTGCAAAAGCTAGCGGCTCGCTTCTGCATCAGCATCAAGGTTCCTACCATTGCGGAGTCCATCAGTACCGGAAAGGTTGTAGGGTGGACCAAGAATGTTGGCGATCCTGTCAGCGAGGATGAGGTCATCTGCCAGATCGAGTCGGACAAGCTCAACGTGGACGTGCGGGCGCCGACGAGCGGCTTCATCACGAAGATTAACTTTGAGGAAGGGAGTGTCGTCGAGGTCGGTGCCGAACTGTCCACGATGAAGGAAGGGGAAGTCAAGGCGGACGCTGAAGCGGAGGCGGCACCAAAGGCACCGGCTGCTTCTCGGAAACCGGAACAGCAAAATCCACAAGCGGAACGTCAAGTGACACCGCAGCCGCGGTGTGTAGCAGTCCAGGCAACGGAGCCACGTGTTGTGACTACTACAACAGGCTCTGACCCACGCGTGCGCAACGTGCGCATCTCTTCTATGCGTCAGCGTATAGCAGATCGTTTGAAGGCGAGTCAGAATACATGTGCAATGCTTACCACCTTCAACGAGATTGACATGACGCCCCTTATTGAGATGCGTAACCAGTACAAGGATGACTTTTACAAGAAGCACAACGTAAAGCTTGGATTTATGTCCCCTTTTGTAAAGGCTTGCGCCATTGCCTTGCAGGACATACCGATTGTGAATGCATCCTTTGGCTCCGAGTTTATTGAATACCACGATTTTGTCGACATCAGCATTGCCGTATCGACGCCACGGGGACTCGTGGTTCCCGTGCTGCGGGACGTGCAGAAGTCTGACTTTGCCAAGATTGAGAAGCAAATCGCCGACTTTGGGGAGCGGGCGAAGGTGAACAAGCTCACCTTGGATGAGATGACGGGTGGCACCTTCACCATCAGCAACGGCGGCGTGTTCGGCTCGTGGATGGGAACACCCATCATTAACCCTCCGCAAAGTGCCATTCTCGGCATGCACGCAACGAAGAAGAAGCCATGGGTGGTGGGGAACGAGATTAAGATACGCGATGTCATGGCGGTGGCGCTGACGTACGACCACCGCCTCATTGACGGCAGCGACGCGGTGAGGTTCCTCGTGAAGGTGAAGAACCTCATTGAGGACCCCACCCGCATGGTGCTCGACCTCGCCTAGCCGCCGTGCTTGAACGTGCAGTGGGGTGGTGCGTGGTGTTCCCCGTCAGTTTGGAACTTCACACGACGTGTGTATTCAATTCGCAAATCAATTACCGCGGCGTGTGGGTCTCTGTGTAAGGGATGTTAAAGTGGGAAAACGAAACAAAACGGAAATAAATAAGTAAACGAAAAGGGGCCGTGAAGCAAAATATCGGTACCGGTGACGTCTACTAGAACCAATCAGAGCAAGTTGTAGGAATGAAGGAAAATTTAAAATAGAAGAAAAAGGAATCAAGGATCCAACAAACAAAAAAAAAAGGAAGCGAGTGGGCCAGGGAAAAAAGGAAAGGGCACGATGACGACACGCAAATAAGGCACCTGACACGTACGTGTGAAGTGTGGGGGAAAAAAACTCTGCGGCAGCGATGTCTAACGAAGCTCCAAAAATAGAAAAAAACTGGGTGGGTGGGTGGGGAGGGGGGATATATGTAAATCATAACAATGAGGATAAATAACGAAATGAAGAAAAAACGGAGAAGAGGAACAAATGGTTGTGTTGTATGGTTGCCATGCTTGTTAATTTGTTTGTTTATACTTGGTGTTATATGTCAAGATTTTTTTGTTGCTTGTGCAGGAGGGGTGTGGGAGTACACCTGCGCATACCTCGGATATATCCATCCACACGGAGTGAGGTAATAGTTGCAACTTGACACGCATGAGGATTTGGTTGGGGGACGTGTTTTTTTGTCTTGCCTCTCAGTTGCCACTCTCTACACTTGTGCCTTCCCTTTGTGCAGTATATTTCGTCCTTCTCACCTTTGTACTAATGTTTTTTAATTAATTTATTATTATTTTTTTGTTGTTTTATTATAACGTTGGGTGCGTGAGAGCGTGACTGGTGACGGAGGAGGCAGCGCCACAATAAGCCACAAAACGGCAAACAACAGCATTTGTAAGCAAAGAACCCCCCAAAAACTAAAAAGACAACAACAACAACAACAACAAACACGCTAAGGGAGAGAGAGAAACATACACATATAACGGCGGAAGGAAATGGTGGCACATCAAGAAGAGGAAGTTCGTATACTCTCGAAGCAGGAGTTGCTGGCAGAGCACATCAATGCGATTCAAAGTGGTTACTTAGTCAAACCACGCCTGGAGTACACAACGATTCGCGCCGTAAATGGCCCGCTGGTCATATTGGGTGATGTGCGTCTGCCGACGTTTGCGGAGATTGTGAACATTGAGTTAGCCGATGGTACGCTTCGCCGCGGGCAGGTGTTGGAGGTGGATGGCGACAAGGCTGTTGTTCAGGTGTTCGAGGGAACCTCCGGCATCGACGTCATGCGCTCGAGGTGCGAGTTTACTGGAAAAGTCATGGAGATTGGCGTCAGTGAAGATATGTTGGGCCGTGTCTTCAACGGCTCCGGTATTCCTATTGACAATGGCCCCCCGGTGCTGCCTGAGCAGTACCGTGACATTCAGGGTATTCCCATTAACCCACGGGCACGCGTATATCCCGAGGAGATGATTCAGACTGGCATTTCGTCTATAGACGTCATGACTTCCATCTCACGCGGCCAGAAGATTCCACTTTTCTCTGGGGCTGGTCTACCACACAATGAAATTGCAGCCCAGATTGTGCGTCAGGCTGGTTTGGTGCGAAAGGAGGGGAAACAGGAGGATTTCTGCATTGTTTTTGCAGCTATGGGTGTGAATCAAGAAACAGCTCGCTTCTTCCGTACCGAGTTTGAGGAGAACGGGTCTATGGAAAAGACTGTGCTGTTCATGAACCTTGCAAATGATCCTACCATTGAACGCATTGTGACACCACGGCTTGCCCTCACCACCGCGGAGTACCTTGCCTACGACTGCGGTAAACACGTGTTGGTGATTCTGACAGACATGAGTTCCTACGCCGATGCCCTGCGTGAGGTGTCGGCGGCGCGTGAGGAGGTGCCTGGGCGCCGCGGCTTCCCAGGGTACATGTACACGGATTTAGCGTGCATCTACGAGCGTGCCGGTCGTGTGCTGGGGCGCGCGGGGTCTATCACGCAGATTCCTATTCTCACGATGCCCAACGACGACATTACGCATCCAATTCCGGACCTGACAGGTTATATTACGGAGGGCCAGATATACGTGGACCGCCAGCTGCATAACCGGCAGTTGTACCCGCCCATCAACATTTTGCCCTCCCTCAGCCGACTGATGAAGAATGCCATTGGCGAGGGGATGACCCGCAAAGACCACGGCGGTGTCAGCAACCAAATGTACGCCGCATATGCCATCAGTCGCGACATTTTGGCTATGAAGGCGGTTGTGGGTGAGGAGGCCCTCAGCAGCGAGGATCTCCTGCACCTTGAGTTTTTGGAGAAGTTTGAGAAGAAGTTTATTTGTCAGGGCTTCTACGAGTCCCGCGATGTGTTTCAAAGTCTTGATCTCTGCTGGCAGCTTCTGCGCACCTTCCCGAAGGTGCTGCTCAACAAGATTGACGCCAAAACACGGAACGAGTTTTACGATCGCCAGCCTGAGCGGAAGTAGAGGCGCTGCCGTATGCATACTTGCGTGAGTGCATGCCGAATAGTGGGCGGCAAATGGGAGGGGGCGCCGGCGTCGTGTTTTGCACGGCCGCCACGGGATTGCGAGGAGGACCCAACGACAGCCATGAAGCAGCAGGGGAGAGTGAGGCGGTGGGATGCGGGCAAAGAAAGTAGGAAACATATATACATGTTTAATGAGTGAAGAGAGAAATGAAACGAAGGAAAAGAAAAGAAAAAAACGAGAGGAGGAGATAGTTGAGAGGCTTGTGTGACCGTGCGGGGTACGGACCGGCAGTGCCAACTGGTGCTGCCAATGCGAAGAACTAGAAGAAGAATGGGGAGGGTGGGCGGAGCATGCATTTGATTACATGCAAACGCCACCAATGCAGGTGTACGCAGAGGCAAGGAGAACTGGGGCCACGGCGGAGGTAGAGAGAGTGCGGCACATGCACAATGAAGGAAGGAAGCAGCGACGGCAACGAGGGAGGGAGGGGGGCGGCGTACGTTTCAACTACAATGTCTTTTTCCTTCTTTTTGTTTTTGTTTTTCGTTTGTTTGTTTTCCACTGTCGCTCCCCCCCCCCTTCTGTGCATGTAAGCCGGGGGGAGAAAGTGCACATGACGCGTCAAGTGGCGGGACGCGGACCCCTCAAAGCTGTGCATCTGGAGCTGCCACTCCCGTGTTGCTTTTTGTCGTGTCGTCTGCACCCACATCACTTTTATCTCGCTTCCTCTCTTTTTTTTTTTTTTCTGGCTTTGCTTCGCCTCTCCTGCGACGCCACCAGCAACCACTCAGCGCGTACCCCACGAGTCGTGTGTGTTGTGTTACCTCTGAGGCGAGCCCAGGAGCGGTGGGAACCATTGACAGCCCGACACAAGGGCATAAAGGGGAGTAAATAACTTACAGCGATCGAGGCACTAGAAGGAAGGAGAAGAATAAAAACAGGAATAATAATAATAATAATAAAAAGCTAGGGGAAAAAGGTGAGAGTGGAAGAGACACAAGTGGAGGAGGCAATACGTGGAGAGGAGTCGGGGTAACTGTTAAAACGCTGCCAAGAAAATAATTTATGGAATCCAGGACCTCCGTGGCAAGTCCTGCGGTAGCGGCGTCGCAGCTCTTTGACGTTGTCGTGTTTGCAGGTGGGAAGGCCGATGGTCTCCGTCCATTGTGTGACAATGAGCCGAAACCGATGCTTTGCATCTGCAATCAACCCATGATATGGTACTGCCTGTATCCCTGGTACGCCGCTGGCTGTCGTACCTTCTTTGTCACCGTCAACGAAGACTACGCGGCGTTGCAGAGCTACCTGCACCGCGTGTTCCATGATGTGGAGTTTGTCTTTGTGTTGGTACCCTTCACGCAGAATGAGGCGCCGTCAACTACCTGCGATGTGGTGAAGGCGTACCTGGAGCACAAGGAGTCCTTGCTGCCGAGTAAATTGGGGCATGCGCGTGACGCGTTGCTTCTCAGCTGCGACACACTTCTCCCTGGACTGGACCTGGAACCGTTTATTCGCAACTTTTATTGTTCCGTAGCCTCTGTATCGGTGCTTTTGTTTCGTCCGCTGAAAAACACTCACACCCCGGCGGCTGCGGGGACAAAGGCTAACAGGAAACACGACACCGGCTTCCCCCCAAAACCGTACACATTTCGCTACACTTGTACCGCATACGAGGAACTAGATGAGGCCGTAAACGGTACCTCGACGGCAAACTCGCGGGGCGACGGTGAGACTGACAGGGACACCAATGGTCCGTGCAGCTACAGGTTACACATCATGTGCCCATATGAGGAGAGGCTGAGGCCCTATGTTAGCATGGGCTTTGGGGCTCGGCGACCCAACCTCACCTTTGCCTGCGACACGACGGACGCACACGTATACCTTGTGCGTCACTGGGCTTTGCATGCTATTGCAGATTCTGCGGGTGAAGGGAGGTCGGTGCAGCGCGACTGCATCCCATTTTTTGCCCTGAACCAGCATAGTACCATCAATGAGAAACATAGCTTGTTTGCGCGTCCGGAGAACAAGATCAAGTATAACATTCCCAAACACTGGTTGTTTGAAAGAGACTGCTTTGTGAATTTTCTTAATGCCTCTCCAGGACCCGTGCTACCTGCAGAGGCGGATAATCTGCTTGTGTGTTGCACTATCTACGATGAAAGGCCAGAAACGTACATGCGTGCCTACCGTGTCAGGACGTGCGAGGACTACATTGCCGTGAATAAAGAAATTATATTCTCCAAATGTCTGTTACACGGCGCAAATGAAACGATGCCGCGGAGTGCCACCAGCGGCACCGCCAAATACACCCACCCACCGCCACACCAACAACAACAACCACAATCAATTCAGAGGCCTTCGCAGTCATTCATGGGCAAACAATCCATATATCGTGCTGTGAATTCCTCACGATTTCCTTTTTCTGCCATGGCGCTCAGCGGCCTGGTGAGTGATTCTGCCTTCACAATACGCGCGGACGATGTCTCTAGAGGGATTACTGTCATCCACAGTTTTCTGCGTACCTCGCCCACGTGCAAGGCCACTATTGCCCGCAGTATCATTGGAAACAATGTGACACTGGGGCCAGACGTGCGTATTAGTAATAGCATTATTTTGGATAATGCCGAGATCGGTGCAGGCGCGACCATCTCCAACTCTGTGATTGGTTCATCTGCCATGGTCACTGCAGGGGTGAAGGTGATGAACTGCACGGTTGGACCGCAGTGCCTCGTGGAATCACACAGGATTGAAAAAGCGATTTGACCATAGTTTGGAAGATGATGCAGGAGACTCCATTGCACACTCTGGCGTAGCCGTGTGCGTGTGTTTTGTTTTGTTTTGGCTGTTGTAGCCGCTGAAAGACGACAAATAACGGAGACATTAATAATGGTAACTGAAACCCGAGACACTTTTTCCGTATCGCGGCAGTTGATGCAGAGATGTACATCTCCATGCTTGTTTTTCTCTCTCTTTCTCGGTGTGTGTGTGTGTGTGTGTGTGTGTGTGTGTGTGAGTTTATGCTTCACACCCTCACAGTGCAGTGGAAGTGCACTGTGCACAGGTGCAGGTGTATGTATTTGCCCACGTATACGCGTATGTTTTTTTAATTTTGTTTACGGGTTTTTGCTGCAACGACGGGAAAAGGAAGGACTGATATAAAAAAAATAGGAAATTAACGTGAAGGAAGCGGAGGCGCGCCCTTCACTCTCGCTATTGCTGCGTATGTGTGTGAGGAAAGACAAGAGGCGACCTGCGCAAATTTATTAATGAATGAAACACCGTGTAGTTGTTCTGCAGCATGGCTCGCACGGCACGCACCGTGACTTGGGTTGTCTTGCACGACTTCTGCGCGCTCTTGACCCGCCACCTGTCGTCGTGGAACCGCAAGTGAATGAGGGTTTTCAGACGGATGACGGAGTTGTGGTGTGTGGAGCGCGGCTCGTGCAGGAGGTGCTGCGCGCCCTCAGTAGCCTTTGCATGAAGGCCCTTGTGCCGTCTACGGCGCCAGCAGCAACGTCTGCGATGCCTGGTGTAGAGAGGGAGACGACCGTGCAGTTAAGTTTTGTGGCTCACTCCATGGGTGGGCTGATCGTTCGCGAGGCGTTGCCGCAGCTGGTCCGGGAATTGCGGTGTCAAGAGGGAAACCTACGGGTGGAGTGGAAAGTGTTTTGCTCGATTGCGACGCCGCATGCGGGCACGCGCCACATGGATGCCTCTGTGCGCTCTTACCTTGGGCGCCTGCTTGGACGTTTGTACTCCACCGCGTATCATGACATGTTTCTCCAGTCCAGCGTTCTTACGGAGCGGTTGATTTCTACCGAGCACTTGGCCTCCCTTGCGGCGTTTGAGCATCGTTTATTGATATCAAGTATGAATGATCTAATTGTCCCATTGATGAGCTCTGGATTTATGCTGAAGCCCTCACAACGTGGTGAAATGAGTCCCGTCGTACGCGTGGAAAAGGAGGCCGCCATGTGTGCCGTGTCGGAGGAGGAGATGTGCGCAAAGCGGCACAGCATCGCGGAGCTGCCTGCGGAGGAGTGGCCACAGGATCAGTATCCTGTGGAGCGGCACATTGCAGAGGCCATGCTAAAAGGCGCGGGTGCCTTTGACTCCATTGTGGTGGATTTCACGCAGCTGCACAAACAGTGCGACAACCCACGCGTGCGACACTCCGCGGAGCAGCTCTCTCATCGGGCTTTGGTCTGTAAGCAACCCATTCCACAGATGGGACTGGAGGACATTTTTTGCTTTGTGTCAAGGTGGGTGGCTGGTGAACTGGCGGCGTGGCATCGCTAGCTTAATGCGTTGCCTTCTGGTTACACTTGACAGCTGATTATGATGATGCCACTGTTGAGGATCTCCATTGCAGCGGGGTTTGTGTGTGTGTGTGTCTGTGTCTGAGGAGGCTGTTGATTGAATTGCTTATTGAGGAAGTTTTTTTTTTTTCGCCGTTGCCGTTGTTGCTGTGCTTCCATCCTGCTGCTCTGCCCCTCCGCCCCTCACAGTCCAGAAGAAAGAGGAAGGAAGAGCGACGACATCAACAAAGCACGAAGGGCGGGTGGGACAGAGGTGGCGGGGTGGCAGCTGCACCAAGAAAGTGCTGTGGGGGATGTCGTGGTTTATTGCCGCCCGCAGTGTGGTTGCGGTTTTCGTGCCACTGCTGCTTCTTTTAGCGCAGCTGCCGGCGGTGGGAGCACAATGGGTCAACGATACGGCGACGTATTTGGGCACCTCGCCTCTTGAGCTTCGCATCACCGCGACGGCGGATTGGGACAATGAGATGAAGACGGGGTTCATTGGCACTTGGGCCAACCGCACCAACCTTGTGTGGTACTGCCAAGGCAAGGCGGAGGACCGCGGCAGTGTCCTCTACACGCTGTGCTGGACCTCGGTAGATTTCCTGAGCCCCATTGTAAGCACCATCGTGGCGGACCTCAACCGCGACGGGACGCTGGACATTCTTGTTCAGTGCGAGGATGGTAGACTCTATTTTGTCAATGGCCGACACCGCGACGAGCCTCCCACGGCGATCGCGAGTGAAGCCGTGCCATCCTTCAACGCCTCCATACCACAAATGAGTTTGGTGACGGTCTTCAGCCAATGCGGGCTGCCGGAGATTGCCCTGGTGGACGTGACAGGGTCGCTTGTCATTATGCAAGCCACAACCGAGACATCCTCAGGTGACGAATGCAGCGGGCAGGACACCCTACCTGCCTTTAAGCCGTTTGTGTTGCTGGCAGGGATAAAGGGCGCGAGGGAGGTTGTCCCGCTAGGCATCATTTCAGACGATATTGATGGTGATTGCGTCGTGGATCTACTATACACAGTGTATACGCGGGAGAGTAATACGCTACATATATATGCTTTTTTTCCTGCACGCTCCGAACATGAGTTGCTCTTGACGTTGACCCCAGCGAATCGCTACGGCTTCCCCACTGTAGCGGACGTCAGCGGGGATGGGGCACCCGACCTTCTCTTTCCACTTTGCGCTCCGCAGAATACATCTATTCCTTTTGGCGAGTGCACCCGCTTTGATGGCGTGATAGTTTTCTACAACGACTTACATGGCTCCTCGCCATGTGCTGGTGGCGGATGTTGTAGCGGGCACCGCTTTGGTTTTCACGAAGGTGCATCGAAGGAGTTTTTTCTCCACGAGAAAAATGCATGCAACATTCACATGCGTCGTGGCCTTCCCCTCACCATGACGAGTTCAGTGGCGTCGCCACTGCTGTTGCGCAGTGGGGATTTCAACCGAGACGGGTACGTGGATCTAGTGGTGCCAAGCACCTACGGCCCGTTGCTGCTGACATCCCAGCGAGACGCTCACGGCCCATCCTTCAGTTGTGCGCCGCTGGACGAGGCGCGTGCGGGGGCTTTGGCGGACGATGTCGCGACTTACACGAGATCGATTCCTTTTTTTGCCATTATCGCGGGGGACGGGGTCCTTGACGTTGTGCTGACCTTCCACGACACGAATGCACTTCCCGTCGTGTTCTACGCGAATCGGCTGTCGCGGCTGCGGGAGAAGTATTTTCTTACGAGCAGCGCCCTCAACGGCGTCGCCGCAGTCCACGACTGGGGCGTTTACCAGCCGGGTGCTGTCCACCGCTTTGGGTGGAGCGACGCCACGATGCGACAGCGCTGGGCCTACGCCACGCAGTTGTCCAGGACGCAGGGGCACGCGCTGCAGCTGTCGCGCCTTCTCTTTGGACTTGACCGCACCTTCTCCTACATCCAAGACTACGCTGTGGGCATTCTGGCCAACCGGCAGGCCGTGCGGCGCGCGTGGTCGGCGAACCTGGTGCCGAACTCGAACGTGCTTGTATGGCTCAACCCCCTCCTTTCGCAGGAAAGCTGGCGGCTGCGGCTGTACCTTGTCTCCGCCACGTACAGGTGGCTGCTATTTGTGGTGTTCGTCACCTCGCTTGCGCTGATCGCCGTCCCCATCATCTTCCTCAAGTGGAGGGAGGTGCGGCACGATCACCGTGAGTGGAAGCTGCGTTGACGACGAAGAAAAATAGAAGAAGCAGGTGGGATGAGCAGCAGCCACAGCAAAAAAGAAAAAACAACTGAGGAATTATATTGCCCCCACTTGCACTTTTTTCTTGCATTTCATGGTGTGGCTTATGCGCATTGCCCGCATCCACACACACACACACACACACAACACCTTTTTTTTTCCCTCTCGCACTCTCTCGTGCCTTTTCCTTCACGCTTGGTCGTGGAAAGCCTCCCGTGACATACTCGCAGGGAAGACTCAAACACTTTCACAGACCACCAGAAAGCGCAACCTGCAAGAATGGGCCACCTCGAACAATGGCGTTCCCGTCAGAAGATCGGCATGGGCAAGGGCTCTCGCCATTGCGTGATTTGCTCTAACCAGAAGGCAATTATCCGCAAGTACGAGCTCAACGTGTGCCGCCAGTGCTTCCGTGAAAATGCCACGCACATTGGGTTTAACAAGCTCCGTTAACGCCACACCCCCTGTGTCTGCGGCAGGTGGGAGAAGTGGTGTTTGGCCGCAATTGAATTTTGTGTGACGGAGTGTGGCGGGAGACATCGGAAGTACGAAAACTTGTTTTGTTTTTCCTTTTTCTTTGGCATTGATATATGGAGAAAGACATATTTGTTCTGTCTCTTTTTTTTTTCTCTCATTTGTTCCAACTGCGGATGTGCAGGCGCCGCCGTAGTAGTTTTGCAACGACCACGCGTCTGCAGTGAACACAAGTGGAACTTTCATCACCCACACCACTCCGCTTTCTCTCTCTCACTCTCTCACTCACTCAATGCAGGGTGTGCGCCAACGCGTTTTTGTAGACACTCTTCCTGGCGGACGTCTGGCGGGTAACGTAAACGGCAACAACAACAACAAAAGGGGAGTGCAGTGCAGCACGTGGGGAAGGAGGTGCCTTCTGTTGTTCACAGCCATAGTAATAAACGAAATTTTCCCGTGTGGCTATACCTGGTGTCAAACACACCATAACACTTTGCAGTGCTAACGGAGGTGTGGGCAAATTCACCTCCTCCGTTAATGTGGCGTTGGCACTGAAAAACATGGGACACGGCGTTGGCGTTGTGGACGCCGACATCACTGGCCCCTCCATACCAACCATGATGGGCGTCGATGCCTCGCAGGTGGAGACGTACCGCGTGGCTGGCAGTGGCTGCTTTGAGCCACCAGCGAACTTTGGCGTGAAGATCATGAGCATGGGACTCCGTTGTGCCGTACGACGAGGCCATCTCAGTGCGGGGGCCGATGGTAAACAAATACATTCAGGCCTTGTTGTTTCAAACGGACCGGGATGAGTTGGACTACCTCGTCATTGACATGCCACCGGGGACAAACGACGTACATTTAACACTCACGCAGGAGGTTGTACTGACGGACGCGGTTATTCTCTCCACGCCGTAAAGAGTGGCTTTAGTTGATGCTCGACGAGGCATTGACATGTTAACCGCCATGAAAACGCCCATTTTGGGCATCATAGAAAACATGAGTTACTTTGCATGCGACCAGTGCGGCAAGAAACACCACTTGTTTGGCGCCGGCGGGGGTGAGGGCAACCGCAGAGGAGCTTGGGGTGCCGTTCCTCAGGGAAATCCCCTTCGTGCAGCGCATCATGCAAGACACAGAAGCGGGGTACCCACCCACGCTGCGTGGCGACGCCACTGTGGAGGCAGCGGAGCCATTTTACACCCCAACTCAGCGTGTCCACGAGGCAGTGGAGGCACTACAAGCGACAGGAGGCTGTCAACGCCGCCACCGTTGGGCCTTCTATTTGCTTCGACAGTTAGCACGGATACACGCAACTTGGAAAGTGACTGAGCGCAACACACACGCACACACAGACACACACGAGGCCAAATGTGTTTCCGTGCCATCGTTTGTGATGGCTGCTGCTTGTGTGTGGTGCCTTTCCCCGTCGTTGCTGCGGCTGGGGCACCATCTTCGTCTATTTTTTTTTCCTTCTTTTTTTATTGTTGTTCTTCTACCTGCTCGTCTGCCGCAAGGTTGAGGATACCTTTTTAAGCTAATCTGGAGGGGTAGGAGCAGCGATCAACCCTGCCGCCGCCAACAATGATTTACCAACCACTGATAGTCGCATGGTGTGTTGCCATCCTGCTGCTTGCCGTCACGGGCGCAAATGGCCTGTACGTGCTGGAGCTGGTGCAGGTGATCCACCGCCGCGGTGCAAGTCCGCCGCCAGTGGGCACACCCAACCGTGCCAAGATGTGCAGCCCCAATGGTTCAGGCAGCTGCAGCGCCATCGCAAATCGAGGCGTGGAGCAGATGACGGCCATGGGGGCCTACATTCAGCAGCT